AGGAGCCCACCCGGCGCGCTGCTCCCCTGGCCAGCAACCCAGCGGGATGCCAGTCTGGCAGCAGGGTGCCCACCCGCCTGGTCCTGTCACCCCCGCCCTCCCTCCCGAAATGCAGTTGTTTCATGGCCCCCCAGCCATGGCCTAGCTGTTTGGTGCAGGGATAGAAGCAGCATTAGGTCCAACCTAGCCTGATTTGCTAAGGATTTTCACTGTTTAGGGGCTATTTGGTGGCCTTTGAAAAAGGCACTTGGGTCTTGGTTTTGCTCCTGGTGTAGATCCACGCACCCCCATCAGCACAAACTGCAGCTCAGCAGAGGGGAAAAAGGGATGACGGGCTATGGAGACTGAATATCCTCTCCCCCCGCAAACAGAGGGTCCCCTTGGGGGCAGAGGGAGGCATGCGGGCAGGGGACAGAGCATGTGCATGGCACGGCACGGAGGGAGAAGCTTGTCCTGCAGCTGCCCAGGCAGTACCTTTAGTCTTCAGGGCAGTCAAATCCAGTCCACTTCACCAGCACTAAAGTCACTTAAGCCCTTTGCGCCAGTCACCGGAGCAGGACTTTCCTTGGAAAGCTGGCCCTGCCATAGGGGCACACGGGTTACGCTGCGGACAGGCCAGGACCATCACCTCCGCCAGGCATCAGTTACCGCGAGCTCTCCACAGAGGCATCCCACATCTTCCCCAGCACGGGGGACCCAGCACCACGCAGCCCCCTCTCCAGCTGAAGGACTGGAGCGTGGTAATCCAGCTCAGCAGCTTCATTAGCAGTCAGCACTTTGACAGTACAGAGCAGTCCCCGTGGCCTTACTTGGCACTATGCAACCAAACAGTGGTTTTCAGGGAGAGCAGAAACAGGCAGCGAGATACCGAAGCAAGGGGCTTGCTTACCCATGACACCACCCGGCCATTGAAGCAGGGAAGCTTGGCATTGTCATCTGAGATCTCTTCTTTCACCACCCTGCAGAGGGGAGAAGGAGGCAGTCAGAGCTGGGTCCAGGATTTCCGAGGAAGGAGACTTTCCCCAGCGGGTGTTTGCACACCCTGTGCAACAGGCAGCCCAGGCTTGAGGATGGGGCAGGGAGAGGACCGGCAGGGACCCCTGCCGCAGCTTCCTATGCCCACAGCCATGACCGGCAGGCTGGAGGGGAGAAGACAAGGGCAGAACAGGCTCTCCTGTGTGCTGTTTCGCCCCCAGATTCACATTTTAATTAGTCAAACAAACAAAAAAATCAGATTCATATTTCCACCAGTTTGCTTATTTCTAAAGAAATCCACCAGTTCACTTATTTCTAAAGAAATACATAATTTAAACCTCTTCATAATGATCTGAAAGAATCACAACGTATGCCAGAGATTTCTAATAGATGAAAGTGAAATACATTAAACATGCTGTCTCCCAAATGTTACTGTTGATTTTTAATTACGTACATAATATTTCAACATCACTTCAAGCTTTATAGTTGTGCCACAATGTCATGTTCCCACATTACACAAACAGCTACATTATCAGTCTTCATAGTGGAAGGAGCACTGATAAATTTTTTTCCCCAACAGTAAAAACATCAGTTTTCTTTAGGCAGAAAATTTATTCTTTCTATTTTAAATATCACCGGGTACCTAAATACTTTTTCTACAGTGAGTCTGCAATCAAAACAACTTGTAAATTCACCAGATTCAATTAATACCATCTTTGATAAATCAAATTTAGTGGCAAAATAGGCTTTAATAAGCTTATTTTCTTTTCTACTCAATGACAACAATTTAAGCACTCATTTAATACAAAGACATCTTATAAGTAGTATGTGATATTAATTTCCCCTTCCAAGCTGTATCTAAGGCAGCTTGACGCATTGTGCTTAAAAAAAATAATGCAGTAACTAAACCGTGAATAAACCAATCCAACAGAAAAAGAACAAATGTGAAACCAAGGGAAATTATGTATTAAAAAGAAGTAGCTTATAAATAACTAACAGAGTACAGAGAGGTGGGATCCCATCAACAGCTCTGAAGGGTCCCCAAGCCAGTCCCCAGCTCACGGAGGGTCGAAGAGGATGCAAGCATGGGGTGCAGAGCTGTGACCCATTGCCCCAGGCTGTCATGCAGTCCAGGCACTGCCATTACGAGGCAGCATGCCGGGGCCCAGAGAAACAGGTACTCTGGGCTCCTAGCTGCGCTCGCTGGTGTGCCGACAGCTGCCCAAGCTGTCACTGAAAATAGGACGACAAGGCTCGCCAACACTCGCAAGGCATCAGCAAAAGGCAAATGAACAGTGCTGGAAGATCAAAACCCGGGGAGCAGGCTTGCTCCACCCTGCCAGCCACGCTGGTTGCTCCAGTGTCATGCACGCTCAGCAAAGGGCTGTCCCACGGGGTGAAAGGCAGCATGTTGCCACGTCTTTGCTGGCAGCTGGCACTCACGATCCCTGCCCAAAATGGAGAGCCAGGCAAAGGGACTGGACAAACACTACCCATCCCCAGAAGGCACAGATGAGGAGGTCATGGTTTGAGCAGCCTAATCCACTACCAGGATGTGCGTTAATTCCTCTTGCACGGATGGAGAAGCAGGAAAAAGCAGGAAAGCAGTGAGGATGGATTAAAACACTGCTGGCTTAATGCTTCTTCAGCACGCCCTGTGCCAGCCTCTGCCCAAAGCCCCGACAGCCCAGGATGAGTATCAAACACAGGCAGTCTTCCCCAGGACCCGTCCTCTTCTGTGCCCACGCCAGCCCTTTCCAATGCAGGCAAGTTGTTGTCTCCTCACTTCCAAGCACGCGCACACACACACGCACCCTGGCCTGGCTGCACTAGCATCCATTCATACTGTCGCCAGCAGCCTGGACTTCATCCAATTCCTAGAGAGAACTTCAGGCAGAGCCAATTTTCAGTGCTCCATGCTGCCTGCTCAGGGACACAGAGCCCTGCCTGTGGGTGAAGGGACAGGGTGATATATTTGCAGGGTCAAGGTGACCAACCGCTAAGCACAAATGAACTATTCCACTTTCAGTGGGGACAGAGGAAACCAACCCCCAAGACCCCCCCGCCCACCCTCAACTGCAATGCCCGATGGAGAACAAGCTCCTTCTGTCCCGACAGCTTGTT